AAAATATCTTATATGGCCTATCCGCCGATTTATTTTCTTTTATTTTTTAAACAAGTTCGTTGATGAGCAACCACCGTTTGTATAACAACACGAGGTAGAACCAAACGATTATACTGTATATGCAGTAAGAACATGATCAGGAGAGCTATAACTGCAAGTCATCGGCTCTACCTGAGCGTTTATCACACACGATAATCAGCAGCGTCGGTGGGCATACTACTTTAAGTAGGCCTATCTAACTCCAAAGTGATGCACGTTGTGATATTACTATTTTATGAGTTGATAGCAACTTTGATACAGTTCGCCCTCCCATTCGAGACACTTGGGACAGGAATTTGCGGGATGGTCTTAGGAGTCGATATCAAAAGATTGAGGGTTGTCATTGAGTAGGCCTACTTAAAACTATAGACGTTTTGGAACTAGAGGGGTCTCGAACTGGAAGGCGACAGCATAAGTACGATGTGTTGGAAATGCAGATTCAGAAAATGTTTTGGTACCATCTTATCACGCAACATCAAATCTAAAAAAGAGTGAAGCAAACCATAAACCCAGAAACATTGCGGGTGTGTCATGTTACGATCCGATTAGACACAGACCTACATCGGTACCGGTATGATCATAGAGCTACTATTGCTCCATTTTATAAAATGTATATGGGCCTACGCAGTACTGTACATGAAATGTATTTCCAATATTTATGATTCATGGAGCTATGAAATTATAGCTCTGTAAACATTACGGCTCCTTGGATGATTAACATAATTGTAGCATTTTGGAAGACAGAGCCCTTAAAAAATAACTGTTAGGTAAACTTATTTTTACATACATGGTTATGATCATGGTCTTCTTCGTCATCACAATCACACAGTTTGTCGTGAAGGCCCGTTTCGTTTTTTAGGATCGACCCACTGTTATCTTCGTCTGAAACTCGGTTGCATTTTGTTTTTTCATCAAAATTGTTATTCTTAATCTCATCCTGACTTATTCGACTGACAGGAACGTCCTCATGGATGCCCATGCCATCCTCACCTGGCATGCCTACTGTAGCTATATACACAAGTCAACAGTTTGTACAATTTCTTGTGTTTATTTTTTGTAGGTTTTCTTGGTTAAAACAATACCGTAGTTCAAATTAAGTGATACCACATATTCCAAATTTATCAATCAGTATAAAATTTTCGCACCATAATGCAAACTTGTTGAGCTCTATAAAAGCTTTCGATGTCGGATTCCCGATAGATTTTTAAATCTCTACGGGTTAGATGACCAGTAATACATTCTATGGGTTCTTCTAAAAAATCACAATTAAAAACACTGACTATTCCACAAATTTCGATGACGTAACCGTCTTATCCTCTGTTGAAACATCGAATACGTGATATCATCTCCAGGTAAAAATATGTCACAATGAGCCTATCGAGTATAGTAATCAAAGTTTGTTAGGCCTACATGAACGATATGGTCACACTCATGCTCGTAGCAACGACTGGATACCGTAAATTGCAATTTACATGTAATGGTAATATAATAACAGGTCCTGTAAGTCTGCTGCCGCTTGTACTATGCAGCCGTTAGTATGAATGGACAACACGCTAACGATTGTTACTTACAGTGCATATGGCAACAAAAGAAACTTATATTGATATATTTTAATGAAGATGGGGGCGCACAATCAACTATCTCAGTATGAGTAACTACGGTATCTGGTATAACACATAAGCCTAAATGTACAGAAATCTGACAGATACAACATTTAAACAAAAAAACAACATGATTTTGACATTCAAACGCAAGATTTCGTTAAACTGTTAGGATAACGTAGGTTTTTTTTTTTTTTTTTTTTTTTTTTTTTTTTTGTAACGTAATTCAGTACATGTAAAGTAATTCTTACAAAAAGTTTCCTAAATTTTTTTGTGAATAATTGATATTCTGAAATAGGCCAAGTAACGTATCAAATATCTCTCCCTCTTTAAAAATAAAACAAAACAAAACAAAAAAACGCCCCTCGAATTAAACCCAATTTTCAAGACGCCATTCCATAGTTATCAACCGTCTCGCATCGTGCGGGACGTTCCCGCATTTCAATGGACGTGATCATAAATTTGTCACGCATTTAGCACAAGTCTATAAGTAAAAGAAAATGGTTTTATTAAAAATATAAAAACGGTCATGCAGTAGGCCTAACTTGAGTCATTAGTAAAATGGGGCGCGTGCGAACTTGTGCGTTCATTGTAACAACCAACCGTTGATTATGTGACTCAAACCCGACCTCCAACGGGGCTCCGCACCTGGACCCCCACCCCGCCCCTGGGACCCCTCCCCAGCCAACTGGTGTAGTCACGCATTTCAAATCTCTCAGCTTGGTAACTATGCCATTCAGAATAGAAAATAATAAATAAACATAGAAATTCTACCTCTTTTGTTATGGAAGTCACCTCTTTTTCTTCTTTGAATACTTTCATGCGGTGGCGCCAATGTTTCAAAACTTTTCTGGACATACGATGTAGTTCAGATTCCATTTCTGGTACACAATTTAAATTGCACTTCGAATTATCAGTAATGCTCCCGGGAACAGCTTGCATTCGTTTCAGTCACGTGAAACGATATTTGGTTCTCTTATTGAGATGAATGGAATGAGTATATGTCGAGTTAAGATCATAAGACAGATATATATATATATATATATATTGATGTTGCGATGCGTTTCCAGATTTCGAAAAGGAGCAGTTGAGTCTAAAATTCGACATTGAAAGTTTGTGTTTTTGTGATCTTTAGCTAGCTTGGTCTCTAAATTTTTATTATTTAGAAAAGTGATGTAATTAAAGGTACTGTAGTTTACCCCTGGCTGCAGAAATTTAATCTTTAAAGGCGGGGTCCGGAGGAGAAAAATTGATTTTTCTGAGACACTGGAAGGGTGTTTGACTAAAAAATCGGGAACGGCAAAATACGGATTTTTTGATATTCAAAACCTGGAGGAAAGGTGGAGGGGGAAGGGGAGGGGTGGTTACGCCTAGTTGTACAAAATACATTTTTTTTTCTCTGGAGCCTGGCTTCGAATTAAAATGTCATTAATAGTGGGTCATTCTTCGCTAATGTGCCATTTTAGAGGTTTAGAAATCATGAAAAAAAAGTTTAACATTTGTAATTCTTTTATTACACATGTCATCATTATGCCATATAACAACTATAATAAACATCCGGCACGATAATTAGGGCATTTTAAACGTTTATTTAAGCATTCAATTTTCAGTGCTGTAACATAGCAAATTTTGCAAGAATCATCTCCATCACACTTTCTGTGTCGGAGATGATGATATACATATAGATCTGAATCTTAGTAGAATTAAAAGATAGATTGTATTATTTAAATATAGGATAATGCACATTGAACAAACAGGTTTCTAACAACATAAGTCTTATCAATTACCATTTTTATTTTATAGCTGTTTCTGAGAAAAGAAAACATCAAGAAATCATCTCCATCACACTTTGTTGTGACGGAGATGATGATATACTCATAAATGGGAATCTTAGTAAATTTAAAAGATAGATTAGATTATTTAAATATAGAAATATAAACATTGAGCAAAAAGGTTTCTAACAACATAAACCAGATCAATTATAATTGCTATTATATATTCTTTTTTGAGGAAAGAAAACATCAAGAAGTCATCTCCATCACAGTAAAATTGTGATGGCGATGACTGTGACGGAGATGAGGAATTAAGCTTGTTAGATCATATAGTGCCATATGCAGTGTGTTACAGGGTGAATGTCATGTGTACTTTGAAAATGACACAGTTCTGATCGTATATATAATTATTTTTTTCTAACAAAATTATAAATAAAGCATACTCTGAAGCGCTCGGAGATGATGCTGAATAAAGGTACTTTCCTAGTTGTTATTAGAAATGCATGAATTCTTCAGCTATAAGTGGTTTAATTGTACAAGAATGGGCTGTTTCTTACTGTATGGTCCCCTTCAACCAAAATGGTTTGATCCATAACTTGTCATGTCATTTTGCTAACAGCTATAATGGCATTTTAAAGTATTGTGACGGAGATGATGACAATTCAGGGACAAATTTTTTTAGTTTAAAAAAGTCAAATTTTAAGAATTTATAGATCTATTGATGTCATTTTTAATTTTAAATTTGTAAGACATCTATTGTATTCACCTTTTTGTGGTACAGTTATTTAGAAATTATGACATTTGGAATTTTTAAGAAATCCAATCGGGACATGCAAAGTGCGCGACTTTGGAGGCATTTTGTTGAAAAATAAACAGCATGTTGATTACTTTTAAAATATTTAACAACTTATTTCATTAACAAATATGTTCAAGATTGCATTAACGCAAAAAAAATAAAACTTCCTTTAATATTTTAAAATTTATACTACATCAAAACAGAGGGACAGGAAAATGGCACTTTACCGAAGAATGACCCAGGTCAATTAAATTCAAAGTCATCATTTGTGTAGGCCTAAATATTATTATCAGTATAATATTACCAAACAAAAACACATTATTATTGTTTGCTATTGTTCATTAATAATAATAATTAATAATAATATATACAGCCTAGGCCTAGGCCCCTAGCCTATATTTTCATAATTTTAAAAAGTAGGCTAGCCTAGGCCCCCCTACCTAGTCATCATAAAGATTCAAATTTATCTTCACAGTAAAGAGGCTACTCTACTCCAACCAACTCACATGACATCATTTTCTGATGTGGATGGAGTTGGCTGTGTCTTTCCCCCAGTGGTAAGCCGGAAGACTGCCACCCTATCCTAGGCCTATAGGATAGGCCTACATAGGGGCCCTAGGCTAGGGAAAAAGGATAAGCTAGGGCCCTGTGATTAGAATCTAGCCTAGGCCAGGCTAGACTTAGTCCTATGGCAAGACTTGGCTTAGGCCAGGCCCTCGTTCATACATAGTAGGACAGCATAATAATTATATCATTACTGTAGATAATTTAATCCTACACTTGACAAGATTATGTAACAATACCACTTACTTGGCTCCAGCTTCAGGCCTAGTAGTACAGTATTTTGTTTTTTAGATTGATCGACAAAGTGGCAATGCCATGATCGCACCAATGGATGGACGTTTGATGGGTGCGCAAAGAGTTGTCGCGTGCGCAACGCGTTTGTTCGGATCAGCGCGATTCTTTTTCAGGGTGGCGGATGACCCAGATCAGAGCAAGGTAATTCAACAAAAGGACGCACATCTCGGGACATCGACATTCTAGGCGCACGTGCGTCCCTACACGCTGAACGTCACAAAAACCATAGCAACCAGA